GTACTGGGCGAGCCCAAAGGACTACCACTGCACCGAGAGTTCGATCATCGCATACCCTTGGTCAATGAACAGCATGCCATTCATGTCCACCCCTATAGGTATGCTCACTTTCAGAAAACCGAGATCGAACGGCAGGTGGCCGAGATGCTTGAATCAGGACTTATACAGCATAGCAAGAGTCCGTTTTCTTCCCCAGTCTAGTTAGCCAAAAAGAAAGACGGCACGTGGAGGTTCTGTACGGATTACCGAGCCCTAAACGCTACAACCATCAAGGACCGGTTTCCTATTCCAAGTGTAGATGACATGCTTGATGAGTTAGTAGGGTCGCGATATTTCTCTAAACTTGATCTACGAGCTGGTTATCATCAGATTCGACTCCACAAAGCCGACATCCCCAAGACGGCCTTTCGCACACACCAGGGGCACTATGAGTATCTGGTTATGCCATTCGGCTTATGCAACGCCCCATCCACTTTCCAGTTCGCCATGAACTCTATCTTCAAAGACTATCTGCGTAAGTTCGTTTTGGTATTCTTTGATGATATCCTAATCTACTCGAAGTCGTGGGGCGAACATCTTGGGCATCTAAGGATAGTTCTCGAAATTTTGGAGGCCAACTCATTCCACATCAAACCGTCCAAATGTTCATTCGGGCAGGAGATGGTTGAATATCTTGGTCATTTCATATCACATGACGGTGTGAACGTCGATCCGCGAAAGATTGAGGCTATGGTCGATTGGCCTAAACCAACAAGTCTCACGTGGTTGAGAGGATTTTTGGGGCTCACAGGTTACTACCGAAAGTTTGTAAAGGATTATGGAACCATCGCTAAGCCACTGACAGCAATGACTAAGAAGGGTGGGTTCACATGGACCCAAGCTAGCGAGGAGGCGTTTGGGAAATTAAAAGAAGCTATGACGACAACGCCAGTACTCGCCATGCCCAGATTTGATGTCTTGTTCGAGGTACATACCGATGCGAGTGACATTGGAATTGGAGCTGTGCTAGTGCAAGAGGGACGACCCCTGGCCTATCTCAGCAAGGCGCTGGGCACTACTCGACTGGGTCTGTCAGTGTACGTGAAAGAAATGCTAGCGGTTGTCGAGGCTGTACGGTGCTGGAGGCCTTATTTATTAGGTCGACGTTTTCAAATAGTTACCGATCAACAACCGCTTAAGCACCTATTGGAGCAAAGGATTGTTACCCCCGAGCAACAGAAGTTCGTGTCTAAACTTATGGGGTTTGACTTCAAGATAATCTATCGACCCGGTCGACAGAACGCCGTGGCCGACGCGCTGTTTCGACGGACAGACGTGGCCGAGTTAAGTGCGATCACTGGACCTACTTGGGCCATTTAGGAGGAGATCCGGAAGGTGCAAGTAGAGGATACCCATTGCCAGGAGCTGCGCCAATCGATAGAAGCAGGTAAGACCACTGCTATCGACTACGAGCTGCACAATGATCTATTTCCACACCGAGGTCGAGTCTATGTCCCCGACAGTGGGCAGTTACGCGAGCAGATTCTGCAGCACTTCCATGACTCTAAAGTTGGAGGCCACTCGGGTATCTATCGCACGTGGATGAGGATAGCCAACACTTTCTTCTGGCCGGGACAACAAGGCACCGTCCGGGACTACATAGCACGATGCGACGATTGTCAGCGTACTAAGTCTGACTCGCGACGGCCAAGTGGGCTATTGCAACCCTTACCAGTACCCGGGGCAATTTGGGAAGACATCATCATGGATTTCATCGAGGGGCTACCAAATTCTAATGGATTTGACGGTGTTATGGTTGTGGTGGATCGTCTCACGAAGTACGCTCACTTCATACCCATTACCCATCCTTACACCGCAAAGTCAATTGCCAGGTTATTCGTGGAGTATGTGATGAAACTGCATGGAGCACCCCGATCAATCGTCTCTGATAGAGACCAGATTTTTATGAGAAGCTTTTGGTCTGAATTCTTCAAACTGCAAGGGACTAAATTGTCTATGAGCTCAGCCTACCACCCACAGACCGACGGACAAACCGAGGTGACTAACCGAACACTCGAGCAGTACTTAAGGTGCTATGTCCATCAATTTCCTAAGAAGTGGGAAAACTTTTTACCATGGGCTGAGTATTGGTACAACACCACTTACCACGAATCGACCAAGATGACGCCATTCGAATTGGTATATGGGCGAAAACCCCCAACACTGGTCAATTATTCCGAGGGGAGTACAGTCAACGATGAGGTTGGTCGAGAGCTTGAGGAACGAGATTTAATGCTGTGGGAATTAAAGAGAAATCTCGAAGGTTCGATTAATCGGACCAAGTCCTTCGCGGACGGGAAGAGGCGTGAGGAAAATTTTGTACCAGGAGAGTACGTCTATCTGAAGCTTCGACCATTCAGACAACGCACGACTGCGCAAAGGGCAGCTACTAAGCTGGGCGTTCGTTATTATGGACCATATCAGATTTTGAAACGCATTGGTCAGGTAGCTTATCGTCTGGAGCTACCGGAAAGTTCACAGATCCACCCGGTTATACATGTTTCGCAGCTCAAAAGAAGTCTGGGTGAGGCACAAAAGTATTGTGAGGAGCTACCAGCCACGACAACCGACGGCAGGGCTATAGTACGCCCAAAACGAGCAATTGAGTACCATAAGGTAAAGAGAGCAGGACGATATCGTTGGGAGGTCCTAGTTGACTGGGAAGAGCTTCCACCAGAAGAGGCCACGTGGGAAGATCTTGAAGAGATGCGTGATCAATTCCCGAACTTCATCCTTGAGGACAAGGATTCACTTGAAGGGGACGGGAATGATGCGGAAGTGGCTAGGCAGCTCAAGAACGCCGCAAGTCGGGCTTACCATGCGCGCAGAAGACAAGCGCGAGCGACGGCAGAAGTACGCGTACTGGAGGGGAGCGCACGAGAAACGGGCAAGGGTACGCTGCACGCGGGTGTGCAAGCGGAGTGTGCGGGTGGCTTGCGTGGCGCGG